TAAAGGATGGGATGCGTAAGCTCCGAGAAGCCTCTGGGAGTGTGCATGTGACCATATGCACAGTCGCAGAGGTCTGGGGGTAGTCTCGTGGTATTGAAAGGAGGGAAGTGGAGGCTAACTGTGTGATCAAGGGTATGAGCCGGCAACTCAAATACGGCGTAATGGAGCTGAACCAAGACGTGTACGAGCCCGGAGCTCGCCCCTTTGCACAGGATGGCATTCACTACAGTGGTGCGACGGGCAGGAGGGTTGGTAATAGGATAGGTCGTCAAGCCACAGCTTTTATAGAGGGGCCCAGAGCTCTGAGGCCAACAGTGTAGCAGAAGACGGTTCTAAAGGTGCACAAATATTTGAGCCACACGGAGTCCATGGGAGAAGAAATAAACGTAAGCACAAGGGCCGAGCTAATTCAGACGTAGGCTATATTAACATGCTGGGTGGCACAAATAGGTTAAAGTGGGAAGAGATAGAAGAGCAGTTGAGGCAGGAGGAGCTGATGGTATGTGGGGTTGTGGAGACACATCTTCGGTACATTGAGCAACCACCTTGCAATCCGAACTACGTAAGGCAATATTGCAATAGAACAGAAAGCAGAAAAAAGGGGGTGGAATTGTTGCATTCATACATAAAAGTATGGGTTGGCAAAGAGTCAAGCAGGGATACATGGAACATCTATGGTTAGGAAGGAAAGTCTGACACCCCTTGCTTTGGTGTACTTGTGGACGGGAGCAAAGACCACAGAGGAAAACCAGGCAATGGTGGAGTGTATATCAGAGGATATTGAGGAATTAGGAGGAGAGTGCGAGACAATGATACAAGGAGATATGAATGCGCACATAGAAGATTTAGATGGTTATACTGACCCAACAGGCAAATTGATCATGGCTATGTGTGAAAGGCATGATTTAATCATTTGCAACCGTACTGAGAAGTGTGAAGGGCAAATAACATAGGAGGTAGGAAGGCTGCAGTCAACGATAGATTATGCACTGATGTCACATAGGATGCATGATAGGCTCAGGTGAATGCGCATAGATGAATGTGGCTCCAGAAGTCTGGGTAGTGATCACAAACGTATCAAGCTAAGTTTTGGAAGAGCAGGGAAAGTGGGAAGGAGACAAGATGAGCTACTACAGGAAAAATTTTATTTAGAAAAGCAAATGGAAATAGCTACTAAGCAAATTGAGAAAGTAATCACTGAGGATAATGAAGCAGTGTGGACATACACGAATCTAATTAAACTTTTTGAGCTAGAGCTTGCTAAGGCACGTGACAAGTCACCCCGGAAAAGAAGACACAAACCCAAGAGTTGGTGTGATGAGGAAGTTAAGAGGGCCATAGCAAAACGTCAGGAAGCTTCTAGCGAACACACACATGCTAAGCAACGGGGTGAACCGTCAGATGATGTTGAAAGAAAATGGGACATCTTTTTAAGCTGTAAAGGGAAGCAGCCCTTCTGATAAATGAAAAGATGGGAAGAAAGGAGGCTCAGTGGTTGGCAGAAGTACATAAAACAAATAAAAAGGCAGCTGCGAAATTTTGGGACCATCTAAGCTCCCTAAGAAATAAGGCAAGCCTAGAACAGAGGTTTATAACTACAGCTCAAGGTGTTATGCTAGATGGGGGCGATGCTATTGACTATATAAGAACAAGGGTGTCAGAAAAATTTCAACAAAGGAGAACTTTATGCACCACAATAGAAAAGGATAAATCAAGTGGCGCGATGGCTCCGTTTTCACAAGAGTGGGAAAGGGCTGAGAAAAGGGTTCCTAGTAGTACATCAACAGGCCCAGATGGCATTCCAATTATGCTGATAAAGACATTAGGACCGAAGTCTAAGCAGGCTTTGAGAGAGGCAGTGAGCAAAATAATAATCGATGAAGAAGTTCCCAATGGATGGAAAATTAGCAGGATGAGCATGATCTATAAAGGAAATGAGGACAAAGCTGGCATAAACAACTACCGTCTTATAGCAGTGACATCAGTGGTCTACAGGCTGGCAATACAGATTATAAAGGAAAGACTGCAGGCATGGATAGAGGATGAGGGGGTGCTGGGGGAACTGCAGAATGGGTTTCGGAAACACAGGCGGTTGGAAGACAATCTGTTCTCACTGATGCAGTGCATCGAAATTGCAGAAAAGGAACTCAGGCCCCTGTGGCTAGCATTTTTGAATATCAAGGAAGCGCACGATAACATGGTTCAAGAGAACTTGTGGGGAATACTGGAAGCACTAGGTGTGTAAGATGGCGTCACTAATCTTTTAAAAAATATCTATAAAAGTAACAAGGTAGTTATAAAATAGGAAAAACAGATATCCAAACCCACAGAGGTAAAACGGGGCCTTAGGCAGGGGTGTCCTCTGTCATCCTTGTTGTTCATGATGTACCCTCAGGGATTAGAGGCCAAATTAGAGGGAAGTGGACTAGGATTCGTCAAACAAGGAAAACTCATTGAACAGGCACTACCAGCATTGATGTACGCAAATGATATAGTGCTAGTGGCCGACAACAAGGAAGATTTTCAGAGATTGGTGGACATCTGCGGTAATGAGGGAGATCGGTTAGATTTCCGATTCAGTAAGGAAAAATCAGCAGTCATGATTTTGAATGATAATGAAGGTAGTGAGCTCAGAAGTTCAGAAGAATGAGATCAGAAGTTCAAGCAAGATTAGAAATTAAGCAACGTGGAATAGTTAGGCTTGCCTTAGGAGCTCACGGGAATACACCAAATCAGGGAGTACAAGGTGATATGAGATGGACATCATTTGAGGGCAGGGAAGCTAGAAGCACGATAAAATTTGAGAAGCGATTGAGAGAAATGTTGGAGGAGCGTTGGGCTAGGAAGGTTTTCAGCTACTTGTACATAAAAAGTGTCGATACACAATGAAGGAAGCGAACCAGAAAATTGACGGGTAAATACTTAGAAAACAGCAGGGGGCCAAACCAAAAAGAACGATCAGTTAAGAAGAAGGTGAAGGAAACGTAGACTGACATGTGGAGAATTGGCATGATTAAGAAGTCCGCACTAGAGATCTATCAAACTTTTAAGCAGGAAAATGCCAAGGAAAGGATCTATGATAATACTCGGGGTAGTTCTCTACTGTTTGAGGCCAGGACGGGGTATTGCGAACCAAGACATATCGGGCCAAATACGAAGGGGTGGGCACGGTATGCAGTGAGTGTGGAGAGGAAACTGCCGAACACTTGATAATGTTCTGTAAAGGGCTTCACCCTATAGTTCAGGATGCTGGCTCAGAGTTTTTCAAAGCACTGGGGTTTAGAGACAGGGAGGGAAAAATAGACTTTAAGCGGGTACAATTAACTAGAAGGTGGTTATCTAATTGGTGGCTAAAGTCAAGGCACGAGTGAAAATTAAACTCTTCGCTTCAAAGTACCAGTCCTATATTTTACTATGTAAATGAGGGAAAAAAAGATAAATCTAGTTGGTGATTCACTAAGTATTACGGCTAGGTGGCGTTAGCCGCCGCCCGATCTAAAGGGGACAGTCACGTCAATCTATCCATCCATCCATTCATCCATGTCACCTCACGCAATTGCCCTTCATGCACTTCTGTGCTTTGATATTAGTAATAGCTAGGGCTTCACGTCCCAAACCACCATAGGATTATGAGAGACGCCGTAGAGGAGTGCTCCGGAAATTCGACCATTTGGGCCACCCAAATCTTAATACACGAGCCTACAGCATTTTCGCCTCCATCTAAATTGCAGTCGCTGAAGCCTCGATTCAATCCCGCGACCTGTGCTTGCATACGTCACGCTTAATAGTCTTGTGTTTAATTGCTGACACGTCCGCGAAAAGCTTTCTGAATGGGTGGGTTCGTACTGCATTAAAAAAAAAAAACGAAATGTCAAAGCTGCAACGCACGGTGCGAATGCAGGTATTAAAAAACGATGGTGAAGCAGTCATTTCATGCAGGTATTAACACTTACATGAAATGCAGAGTTAATATCTGCAATCATGCAGGTATTAACAAATGACGGCGAAGCAAATGGATGGATTGATGGGAATGTGCCCTATAGATTGGGCAGTGGCTAACGCCACCTAGCTGTAATACTTAGTGAACCAACAATTAGATTTATCTTCTTTCCCCTTTAATAGTAAAATATATAGGACTGGTACTTTACAGTGAAGGGTTTAATTTTTACTCATGCCTTGACTTCAGCCACTATTCAGATAACCTCCTTCTGGTTGATTCTATCCGCTTAAAATCTATATTGCCCTCCCTGTCTCTAAACCCCAGTGCTTTGAAAAACTCTGCGCCATCATCCTGAACTATAGGGTGAAGCCCTTTACAGAACATTATCAAGTGTTCGGCAGTTTCTTCATCCTTTCCCCATGCACTGCATACCGTGTCTGCCCCTTCGTATTTGGCCCGATATGTCTTGGTTCACAATACTTCCGTCCTTGCCTCAAACAGTAGAGAACTACCCTGGGTATTATCATAGATCCTTTCCTTGGCAATTTCCTGCTTCAAAGTTCGATAGATCTCTAGCGTGGACTTCTTAATCATGCCAATTCTCCTCATGTCAGTACCCGTTTCCTCCCCCTGCTGTTTGCTTACCATTTCCCCCTCAATTTTCTGGTTCGCTTCCTCCATTTTGTATCGACATTCTTCATGTACAAGTAGCTGAAAACCTTCCTAGCCCAACGCTTTTCCCCCATTTCTCTCAATCGCTTCTTAAATTTTATCTTGGTGCTAGCTTTCCTGCTCTCAAATGATGTCCATCCCATATCACCTTGTACTCCTTGAATTGGTGTATTCCCGTGAGCTCCTAAAGCAAGCCTACCTACTCCACGTTGCTTAATTTCAAATCTTGCTTGAACTTCTGATCTCATGCACAAGACCGCATTGCCGAACGTAAGACCAAGAATCTCCAGGAATGACTGGTCTGACGGTAATAGCGCAGGGTAATAGCGCAGAGCCTCCAAGCGGCGTCGAGGGGCAGAACCGAGAGAGCAAAGAGAGAGGGCACGGTGGGCGCAGCGGGGCTCACGCGGTCACAAAAGAACGAGTCATGGCTGAAGCGGACGTTCCAAACGAGGCCGGTATGCAGACTTTTGTTGTATATTTCTCTTTCGTAGTTCGTGCCTTAGTACTTTTAGGAACCACAAATGATTGTGTGTCCCTCGGCGCGTTCAGTGTGTTACCATCATCTGGGGCGTCAGAGTAGCGCTATTGTCCATCGTCTATTGTAAGAATGGGTCTGTTGGTGGCGATTCTTGGCGAAACTTGCAGCGCACTACAAAGACATTCAGGTGATGATAGGACTTCCTACAGAATGTTTGTTGAACTGAAAAGAAACGTGTATGTGTTGGTTAGTTGCATGCACGGCTCAGAGCTGTGCCGACAAAGCAAAATAAAATAGCACGGTAACTACCGGTGCGGGAGCAGATTGAATGAACCACTTGAAATGCAATCTGACGCGCGTGGAGCTGTGCCACTGCGTTTTGTTCAGGAATACAAACAGAAGTTAGAGCTGCAGCAAAAGCCATTGTTCTTTTCCCAGCGCCGTCCTTAGTCGACTCCACCGGTTCTGTGTGCTCGTGAAACTGTTGTGCACTGCCCCTTGTGCTCTTCTAACCTTCGGGTTGTCCAAAGGCAAAATGACGGCATCTTGGGGGCGAAACAGCGCGAAAACAACGACCACAGAGAAAGGAACAAACAGGAGTGAACTACCAAACGCTTTCATTTGTGCGACCACGAATAAATACACTTTTTCACATGAGGGGAGGAGATCGAAAGAGCGCGTTGCCCTAAACGCTGCATATGTTTATTGAATTGAGTTTATTTTGCAACAAGGTTGCGAGGAGACCAGGCGAAAAAGCTGCATTGAGCAGCTTGAGGGTAATCTGGCCACCTCATACACTGAGCAGTTACAGCGGTTGAAACAGAAGTATGCCATATACAGAACAAAGCAGTAAGAACAGTAAGCAGACACGGTAAGAAATAATGAACAAAGATGTTGTGTAAACATATGAAAAGCCAAGAAGAAAAATAGCCGTTGTGATGAAAACAGCAAAAAACAACCAAAAAAACCGAGGAACCTACGGCAGTACAAGCAATCATACAAGTATGTCATTTAGCCTTTTTAGTACCAGAGTAGATACATCCAGGCTATTTTCTTTGCGTAATTGATTTAAAATAGTTGGTGGACAAAACTACAGCACTTGTTCACCATATCTAGTTCTGCTTTTGTTGACAATTCAAGGTTCTAAATGATGAAATTTATAAAAATAATTATGTTGTTGTAAGCATGCCAGTTTTGTAAAAGCATTATCATTGTTAATTTTTCTCATTCTACACATGCGACAAAGCCTGTATGTGTACAAGGATTAGATTCAGTTTTTATGGTACTAAGCTTTGTGAACCAAGGAGCAGTGTGCCAAATATATGGCACCCTGGAGACAAGGCAAATGTCTCTTTCTTATACCGTCAGTCGGTGAATGTTTCCGGCTGTAGTTGCACCCAGGCTAGAATTTCATATTAAACAAAAGAAAGAAGCATTGAATTTTATAAAGTATTATAAATAGATCTAGAAAAATAATTACAATGGCAACACATAGCACCTATTGCTCTAGATAATTTACCAAGTGATTCACTTGAAAATCCAATGACAGAGCTTCAGACAAATATACGCAAAGGGATTTGAAAGAGGGTGATATTTCTATTTCAGTATTGGCTTTACTGTGGCTTTGTAGAAATTGTTTATCATGTAGATGAAACATTACATTTGTTTGTACTACATTAATCTTAAGATAGTTACTTGCCACCCACTTGTGTTTACTTGCAAAAGTCTTGTTGGCTCGATTTGGCATTTTAGAACCAAAAGGTCCATTTGTTTTGCCTGCTCTTCGTGAACCGGTACACGGAGGGGCTGCACTTGGCATTCGTTTCATGTGTTCAACATGGGGGCAGCGGCACCGCAGTATTCGTTTCGAAAAAAGTGCAGCTGTCGTGCAAGGCTAGTTCACGAATTCCCTGCACCTGCTCGTGAGGTTGAGCCAGCTGCAGCAGACGACACAGCCGATTGCATTCGTGTCTGTTTTAGTGATGTGCAACAAGTACTACAGTGAACATTTTCCGGAAGACACATGCCAAGCAACATAGCCGGCGCCGTCTTCTACGAACCACAGGCTCTGCAACACTTGAGACGGCCGACGAGTAATAGGGCTTGTACAATGTCTGCACTCTCGTATTCGTTACCATGTCTCGTCGCTGCTGTGCTTGCTGAAACGTCACCTGCACGAAGATAACACCCAGACGGCATCACTGTGAACTAGTTCTGGAAGTGCAGGGTCAATTGGGGGGATCTAAAGTCACCCTGAAGAAATATGCTTGTATGTTTCTTGAGGGTGCACTGTGCACTGTTGCCAGGTTTGGCTATAAATAGCTAAATTGGGCGATACAAAAAAATTTTTGGTATTGACTTGGGCTACTTGGCTGTGTGGCTGTACTTGGGCTACTGAAAATCAGGGACCTGGCTTTATTTGGGCTGTGAGAGTTACTGTCATGATCAGTGGTCCTGAGGTGACTCTCATGGGGCAGAAGCAAATCTCAAAAAGTACCTTGACGTTTGAAAAGGCCATAAGTGTGAAAATTCACGAGAAATTCACATGCTTTGTCGCCTAAGCGAGCGGAAAACTATGCCACGATCTATGACCATTGATCTATGACCATTTTCGAACCAGCGACAGTGGAATGCCTTTCTGCCTCTCGGGAAGCTGCATTTTGTACTAGTATATGTGGCCTCCGAGATTTCAGGCTACAATCGCAGATTGGAGGCAAAGGAGTTGGATGTGTATATGTGTAGACACATGTGGGCCTTCAAAACCTCTTGATGTTGAGCCAGTTTCCTAATGTTGTTTTCAACGAGATTGCAGGCGCAGTGCCGTACAACCTACAGAAGTTCGAGGGGATACGAAGCAAATAATTAGTTACCCACGCGGTCATGAATAATGAGCTCACACGTTTCACCTAACAATAGATTTCGACGTTTGTGCTTTGCGTGACATCTGTGTTGTCTGGAGCAAGTTCACCCAGAAGAATTTAATGCTTCTTCTATTGCATTGTCCACAGTGGTAGGCTACTAGTTATGGTGTTTGACTCCTGAATTAAGGATAAAATCCTGGCCGTGGTAGCTGCATTACCATGAAGGCAAACATGCTGCGGAAGTGTGCATGCTTAGATACATCAATAAAAAGCCCCAGATGGTCGGACTTTCTGGAACTCACCACTGCGGTGTCCCATAATCATTTCGTCATTTTGAGGACTTGGAACCTCAACTATTATTACCGTTTCTGCAGCTAGATTACTCAGTATCGCAACAACATGACATTATACATGCTGTAGTGAAGAAAGAGAGATTGTATACAAGTGTGCTTGAGTAACTTTTTATTTGGTGGCGGCAAACTGAATTGGACTCATGAGCTGAATATTTATTGAGAACGTGGACTGCCGGTATTGATCAATCGATCACAAAATTAAAAAAAAAAAAAAAAAGAGAAAAATATTCTTGGCCCTTTTTGGCTTTATGTGCATAAATCTGCAGAGTTGGAGATAACTTGACCTATACGACATCTCTCATCGGAGGGTCATTTTCCAATGGAGAGACGCAGGTTGCGTAATGTAGTTTTCATTTCGTTATATTTTTGTTTTCAGTAAACATGCGGTACTTGGTTTAGAAAGCAGCGAAACGTTACTTTCGTCGCGTTCCTGAACACAAGGTGTTTGATAGTTGATACACTAACAAACAGGTATTGTAGTAGTTGAATGGGAAAACGTAAGTTCAAGTGAAGCTTCACATAAATATGGGTATAGTATTTGGCTACAAATATTTTTTCCTTTTCCATCTTTTCTTACACTTTGGCTACATTTTCCCGACGCCACCTTGTTTGGCCTGCCAACACTGCTGTGCAGATAGCCAATCGCCATGTCTGGTAATGCTATCGATGATGCGCTGATAGATGCTGACCCCACATGATGCATTTCAAAGGCTTCGTAGATTTCTCATGCTCGGGAGTCTCGACAACCGCGAATGGTGCGGGCCAGCTGGAAACAGGCGCTAGACCGGCACCTAGCACAATGAATCGCCATATTGCTGCCAGTTTTCGTTTCAAAGATGGCTAGTGCGTTTGAGTAGAAGATTAACTTGTGAAATTATGAAAACTTTTCACATTAAAAGAATGGGAGACAAATGTGTTTAAAGGAGCATGAGTTATCTCTTCAACGGGTCGCGCGACTTTATCTACCGGAACATTGCAGGTCGTGCGGTTGTCGTCCCATTTTTAAGAGAACCACCGTCATCTTCAAGCATACTAGCCAACTAACAAGAGAAATCGCTGATCATATCATATAAAGATTAGGGGTAGCAAGTGCATTACTAGTGAACCATCAGTCGCACTGCATGAAAAAGAATTTAGTTATTTAGGCCAATCTTGATTATCCCCATAAGTGTGAGAACGCTACCTCGGTGCACCTCTTTTTCTGCGCATGTCGTGTTGTAAGCTGCCAGTACTTATATACATTTCACCCCTTTTTTACAAGAAACAACAGTTGTGAGCCAGCGCCGTCTTTTCTTTCTCTTTTGCTCCTTTCCTGTCCTGTGTTTTCTGGTGTTGCGCTGTAAATAAGTTTACCATGGATTTTAACCAACTGGCCGAACTCACCGTCTTACTAAGAAGTTTATGTGCTTGGCTCATGTGATATCCGGTGACGTTCTGAATTTTTTTTTATGCACGTGGTGTTGCTTAATACTTTGTTTCACGGTCTCACTTATGCCCACCTCTGCTTTGCCCGGCACTGTTTTCCTGTTCTGGATTTTCAAAACAAATCTTTCAGTTGCAAGACAGCACTGCGGTCTGTGCGCTTTGTGTTCCTCCCGTCTTTGTCTCTAGGGCTGCGTCGATCAGGCAAGCAAAACCGTGTGTCCACTGCGAACAAAACAAAGTACCTCTTAAGTGTGCATCCAGGTACTTTATCTCTGCCTTGGTTAATGCAAGAGAAGGCCCATAGCCACACAGTTATCATCGGCTTCTAAGATGTTGCC